TGATAAGCTAAATTCATTGTAAATTTAACAAAGCTCCAAAAATACCGCCATCTTTCTCGCTGACCGCAAGGATAGGTTGTAACACCAAAATAATACAAGATAAATAACAGGAAATAAACTGAAATGTGTCTTCGTGGATTTGTAGACACTCAGGATCAATTGTTCGTTCGAGGCTGGTTGCTTATTTGAGCATTACGTGTGAGCAAGAGTTTATAATTTCTCGGTGAGAGCCGGCGGTCGATTAAGCGTCAAATAAGATTTGTAGAAAATTTGGTTTTACACAATATGTCGTTTATTTGCGCATTTAGGATTCTTTAACCTAAGAGGAATGTATTGGGACCAAAAAAAAGGGAAAATTTTGACGTTAGTTACCCTTTAAGCAACTCGCGCCGGATTTGCAGGCAAATATATTGATATATTAAGCAGGAAACAAGATGTGTTAACAGCGAAGAAACTTCCTTTGTAACCGACTTTCGACTTTAAAATGATCAGCACGACAAACTTCACGTTTGAAGAAATTGTTGAAGAATTTAACCAATGTCACTTGGAGAAAATTCAACTCAAATTAAGCAAGATTACCGCTAGTGGGTATCTTCCTTTGTTGTGTTCTAGCTAAAGAACGAAAACCGTTTTGTTAATTTTAACTACAGAAAACAACAGTCCGATCCTTGTCTATTGTATATGGTAACTTTTAGTGATCTCAAAGGTAGAAAAGAATAGAAATTATGCGTGAAAACAGAACGACGCTCCGCGCGTCATAAACAGGTTAAAACTTTACGGAGGCACCTTAAAAGTTACATAACCTTAAGCAATATCACCTTATGCAATATTATGGAAAAATGGAAAAATGGACCCGCGACAGTTTGTGCGTTACATAACAAGGTATACAATATTACCTTATGCAATATTATAGAAAAATGGAAAAATGGACCCGCGATAAACAAAAGAAGCAATGAATTCGCGCCATTTGGTGGTTTACAATTTTATTTTCTTTCGTGACAGGCGAAAAATTTGCTTGATACAAATTATGCATGAAAACACAACGCCTCATAAACAGGTTAAAACTTCACGGAGGCACCCTAAAAGTTACATAATCTTATGCAATATTATAGAAAAATGGAAAAAATCGACCCGCGACAGTTTGCGCCACAGGTAATTTACTTAGGAATTATACTTACCTTTTAGTAATAATGACAAACAATGTTTTAGCTGATTTGCACCCGTGAGTCAAGTTTCTGGATGACACGTCTGCCATAGTCTGCTCAATTCGACCGTCTCTGACATTCACAATCTTTCTGTGGATCACAACATGACACTAAACCCAATTAAATGTAAAGAGATATTAATTAACTTTATGTTCAATCCTAACTTTACTCTAAGACCATTAGTTGTAGACAACAACGGTATAGAACGTATATCGACTTACAAGATTCTAGGAGTATTTATCGATAGCGACCTTAAGTGGAATAGTAATGTTCACTCCATATATAAAAAAGCTTGCAGGTTTTCAAGTTTTTAAGTTTTCATTGTATTATAACTCTTTAGTTCAGTAAGTTACTGCAAGAGAGTTTAATAAACTGTTCTTATCATTATAATATTACCTTATACAATATTAGATTATGCAAGGTAGAATTACGTAACATTCGGCGGCATCTGGCAAAGTTTGTAAGGAATCCTCTGCCCTAAATAAGAAGTTCGCTTGAGATCATTTTAATAAGTTTTTAAAATATCTGACAGGGATAACTCGCCTGAAACGCTTAAAAATGAGATAAAACGCACGCGGGCGTTGAAAGCTTTCTTAGTTCGTTTCTTTCCTTTTTTAACTCTTTGCTTGAACTTACTGTTAAAACTGTCAACGCCAGATAAAAATGTAAGAAAGAAAAGGGAATCCTTCCTCAAAAGCGTGTCGAGTACGCAACAATCGCTTATGTCACAATCTGATTACCTCTCTTAGGCAGATAATTATCGAAATATTTCGATACCTAGGAGCAACTTGAGTCTATAGTTACATAACTGATTAGCCTTAAAACTTACTCTGCCAGTCTTGCAGGCCAGAACAGTGGAATCGCTCTGTTCCATCGAGTTCCACTTCGGAAACAGAAAAAAAAAACAGTCTGTAATACTTCTTTAATTACATTATTAACTGATGTTAGGTATATTAAAAGTCTGTTTATGCCATATTGAACCTTCGTGCTTTGTTAGGTCGTTATGAAAACAGGTCAAGTACAACGCTGTTATTTTCGGCAAAATAATTCCCAAGGCCAAAATGGGCGGACAGTCAAGCTTAAAAGATTACACGAACCGTCGGAAAAGGATTTAAATCCGTGTACACGTTATCCGGCGCGTGAGACATATAATTGATCATTGTCTTTTTGGGTTGAGTGGCACTGTATAAATTTGGCAAACCAGGGAGGCTCACAATCAATTTGATGCAACTGCAGGACACACCTCTTAGGCGGTAACAGTGCTCGTTGCTCGACTTTGCGAAGCAGATTTTAAG